TAATAGTATAATATTAATATGAATTAAATTGATAGGTTTAATAATGAGAAAAGGGTCAGTTGAACAGATGGTGTCAGGTTGTGTTGTGATTGTTGTATTTTCAGGGTAAAACCATCGATGAGATTCCTCCAGAGGTGCTGATCGACTGCGCACAGCTGGTGAAGAACAACAGCATCCAGGGTGACTCAGGATGATCTGATGTGTTCATCTTTACTGGTTCTTCTTGTYTTCAGCTCATTAAACTGGGACTGTTGTATGTGTCAGGGTGTAAGATGAACAACATCAGTGTGGTGTACACACCGTGGTCCAACCTGAAGAAAACAGGAGACATGGACGTTGGACAGATCGGCTTCTATCGGCAGAAGGAGGTCAGCAGCTCTTTGAGCCGAGCTTCTTTTACTTCCTGATGAAACGAGTCTCTTCTCTTATTGGACCAGCCATTTTCTGCATTTTTTGTTTTCATCACTAAATGTTTTGTGCGTCTTGCAGGTGAAGATTGTCGCGGTGGAGAAGAAGATCAACGAAATCGTAAACCGCCTGGAGAAAACGAAAGAGGAGCGCTTCCCGGACTTGGCGGCAGAGAGGGAAGCGAGGGATCGGGAGGAGAGGAACGAAAAGAAAGCTCAGCTCCAGGAGCAGAAGAGGAGAGAAAAGGAAGAGCAGAAGAAGAAGAAGGAGATGGAGGAGCTGAGGTGGGTTAAACAGCAAGTGTAGTCTAACTTTTTTTTTATTTCATTTAAACCAGAGGTTCTCAAACTGGGGTCCCTGGACCCCCAGGGGTCTGCGAGAGGTATTTTGGGGGTCCTCAAACATTTTTACTAAAATGTTAATTTGATTTGTTTTTAAAAATGCATGGAGAACAATGAACTAATAAATCAAACATAATAAACTTAGTAAATATATATATTCCCATGGTATTTAGGGGTTGAAAAGATAATAAATTATCTTTTAAAACAGCGGGGGGGTTATGAGGGGGACCCTGGATTTTTTTTTTGCCCTTGTAAGGGGTCCTCAGACCCAAGTGGSTTGAGAACCCCTGATTTAAACAACAAAAAACCAAACATTAAAATAAACAAAAAGAAGCACAATAACATTAAATGAAAAGGAGCAGACAGAAGTAAAGAATCTTATATCTGCCCCCAATTCAAATATATATATA